TAATCTTTGGTTTAATAATAGACATTTCCATCGTTTCTTCGAAATATATTTTCTACGTCATTGTTTCGCATGGTTTCCTATCAAATTTTTCTGAATGCAGAGAACACGAAGAAGGCAAAAAAGATCATGCAGGCGCTCGATGAAAATGAACAATAATGTCGGCGGGGAACATAGATACAGCAAAAAGATAGATAAAGGAAATGGAAAAAGAAAATGACGGTAAGGGAACGATAGAGAGAGGAGACAGACGGGGAGGGGAGGGGGGGAGAGATGTTTCATTTAAACACATGACTTAAGTTAGACTGAGACCGTAAACTATATCTGCGATTGGAGAAGTCAAAAGTTTCTGCAGTTCGTAAGTTTGTGAACACTCTTTCCCGAAATTCTAATGAGAGGGCGCTGTCACATTTTCACATCTCCGATCTCAGATGCACTTCCAGGCGTTCTTCGATGGGCATTTGCAGATAGAGGGATGGGAGGGGTGGGGGGGGGGGGGGTGGAACGGCAGGGGAACTACCCCACCCCATCCCCTGGTAGAAGTAATTCGAGTATACCCGAGATAGAATACGCAATTTTTTCGGGAGGGATTGGATCACCTCCTCCCTGCCAAACATCCATCACAATCCGGACTTCTCTCTCTCACTCGAACCGATTTTCAATCAAAGTGGTAGAATTTGGGTATTACAATACATAATGTTTCCTCATTTCAAAATGAATTCTAGTTACCCCTAGAAAGATGGGGATGAGCTGTAACACGGAGATTTAAAAATAATATGTAGCTACAGTATTTCGATTACGCTCGATTGAAAGAAACTAAATTATTTTGATCTTAGACTTTTGTCTAAATTTACATTCCCATCCTGTTCTCCTGCCTAGCTTCTCTCAATTTCTGTGTCTCTTCTGGCGCTCGTGGTCATATATTTTCATCCCTGCATAATCTTCTTCTTCTTTTTTTTTGGGGGGGGGGGGAGGGAATCTACAAATTACATCTTTAACTCAGTGCCTATACTGCAATCGTTTGGTTTCTGCATTCAACGTATCGATCCTTATTACACTAACCAAGCACGTTGACAAGGATTTTTTTTTTAAATCCAGTGTGGGGTTTAAGTTTTAACGGAACACGGGCAATGAGGAATAAATATTTCAGTAGTACTAGTATGAATAGCGCCATCTAGAGACATACCCGTTACAATGCCCTTTGTTTGATCAAGTTTGAGGTATTTCTTTCCTTCCAAACTTTGAGGACCTCGTTTGCATACACCTGTCATTGTCAAAAAACAAAAGGGGGAGATTTTCGCTACTTCTTCCATTGTATTGCTAAATGCAAAATATTCATTATCAAAACATACCAACCCAATGAATGTTCTTTTCCTACCTATAGTGTCAAAAATCGGACTGTCGATAATAATTTATTGTCTCAAGGGGCGTGGGGAGGGGGTGTTCCCTTTACTAACTCACAGCGGATTTATATCATGCTGATGCTAATGATTGTGCCAACACATACTCAGTTTTTAATTTTGTAATGATGAAAATAATTAATGGGATATGAAAGGAAAGTGCTGAGGTATTCCGGTCTAGCATGTCTAGTGGCTAAGGCAGGGGCGATAAAGCACATGGCACGGGGTTCGAATACCTGCCACCCCACTATAAGGGTCCTCTGGCAGCTTTTCAATCTACATCTGCCATTCGCCATCCAGGTATATAGTCAGGAGTAAATGGGTATTCGGAAGGAAGAAATTATTTGAATGCTTGAAATTGTTTACTTCTTCTTTCTTTTCATTCGGCTCCTCCGAGTCCTCCGAGTCTTCCTCCTCCTCCTCCTACTCCTCCTACTTCTTCTTCTTCTTCTTCTTCTTCTTCTTCTTCTTCTTCTTCTTCTTCTTCTTCTCTTCTTCTTCTTCTTCTTCTTCTTCTTCTTCTTTCTTCTTCTTCTTCTTCTTCTTCTTCTTCTTCTTCTTCTTCTTCTTCTTCTTCTTCTTTTACTTTTTCTCCTTCTCATTCCCCTTCTTCGTCTTTGTCATCTTCTTTCCATTTTCTTGTTTCTATTGACATCGTCGTTGCTATCATTATTTTGATCGTCATTATTAGGCCAATCATCAACTAATGGAATGCCACTTCATGACGTGATACCAAATCACTCCCCAAAACAGATTTCTTAAAAGCATGTAACAAATGCATTATCGAAACCGATTTTCAAATTATCTTTGAAATACAATATAAATAGTATTTCGGTATTTTACGTGACCCCCCCCCCCCCCCCCCAAACCCCCACGTCGCCAAACATGCTAAAGTGGGTATAGTGCTTTTTATGATTTTCTCTCATTATAGTAGCACGGTGGATATTCCCTGATGAACCTATTTCGAAAGCCTATATACTGCTATTTTACTTTGCTTTTATTTCAATCTTTTCAATTAACACTCCATGCAAGCTGTCATAATTTATATGAGGTACTTATTTTCTGTTGTTGTAAATGACAATATTTAATATCCATGTTTGTTTGTTAGTATCATTTTATTCGTGTAAACATTGTAAAATGCAAACTTGTGAAATATGAAACAATACACTGAAACTTTTCCTTCCTTATCCTTTTGTAAAGAGTGATGAAGGAGAAAAAAGGACACAAAAGAAAACAAAGTAAAACTAAACAAAAAACAGGCACAAAATGTATAATTGGAATATTTCCTCAAATTTCAATATTTTTTCCCTTTTTGTTTTCGTGATTATATTTTTGTGGAAAACAGATTGTAGGCCTGCATGCATGTACGACCCCATTCAAAGTATTTTCATTGATTTATTAATTCTTCTTATTTCATCCTCCATTCTATTTCATTCTTCTTTTTATTTCATTCTTCTTTTTATTGCATTTTTTGCATAAATATATATAAACTCATCTCACATAGGAGGAATGAAAGCATTCTCTCTCCCCCGCTCTCTCTCTCTCTCTCTCTCTCTCTCTCTCTCTCTCTCTCTCTCTCTCTCTCCATGGTCCCGTGTCGGGAAAATTCACACTCCTCCTATAAAATCGTATAGTGACGCCCTGAATGGCGCCCATTCAGAAAGCGACAGGCCATCCTGATTGCAAAAATTAAGAAGCAAAAAATGGACTGCGGAGGAAAAAAAGTCATGAAATTCAGAGAGAAACATTCATCACTGTTCTATGAGTTATTTAGGCCTACGTCTAGACAAAAATATCCGGGTGTTAGAGCAATTATTCAGTGCACAGTAGCCTAGGCTTCGATGACATGACATGCTTCCGTTCATGGACAGACGTCCACGTAAACACAATACGCTGATGAAGCATATTATCAGCTGAAGACCAGTTAGAAAGGCTTGAACTGTAAGAGAGTGATTACTCTGTCTGTAGCTGTAGTACCCGGCGCGCAGTGGAATCTTAATCTGGAAGTCTTGCATGGCGGATCGTTTGTCTGCCGACCTCAAAATAGAAAAATGTTATGACGAAAATAGTCCATTCTGCATGGCTAATTGCCAAATAAAATCAACCGACGATGATGAAGAAGGAAGCTGTTTCAGGAAAAGCTCATTAAAGTACATAGCCTTTCATGCTATGCTGTATGCAGTCAGCCTTATCCTGTGCAGAATTGTTTTTCTCTATTTATTTAATTTCCTGGTACACGTATAAACAAAATAACGACTGTCATGTCAAGGGTTTGTGCCTGCAAACTAATTACATCTAACTCTGCCTCCCCTTAATATCAAGCCTTACGAATAAACAAAGCCTCTAGATTTCACCCCTAAAAGGCATTTAGGTCCTGTCGGAGAGGAGTCGGCCGTCTGGTTGCTTTACAAGCATTTATGCTTTCTTAGCAGTCAGGTAAAATAACAACCACCACCAATACTTAGACAATGTAAAAATGAACAAATTAATATATGAAAAGAAGAAGAAAAATAAATTAAAGATAAAGACCAGTTATGGTCATGCGATTGCATTGTGAAAGAAACGTTGTGGAATCGATCAGAAAAGGTTGATCATCTAGCATCTAGCATCTGCAAGGTTCTGGAATCATCAAAATGATAAGAAATTTGGCCCATTCTTCGTAAAGTTACAAGCACTATACACAGAAAGATTATATGGGACTACCCTATATCTCTCACAGACCATGAGAGAAACAAATTTACCAAATATATGAATTAGTAGGCGGTTTCCCGGCAAATTTTTTATCATCATGTATTAGTCAAAACATATTCTTTCACAAGTCATGATTGGTAATGAGAGCTTCCATCTCATTTTTTGAAACTGGGGCGTTTCCAATACTGGTCTTTACCTTTAATAAATTAATAAATATCAAAAATTTAGGTTTCGGATAAAAAAAAATTGTCGACAGGAGCCATAAAACATGGACAACCCTTATTATCATCGTTTTTTGTTTTGTTTTACTTTGGATGGCATTTTTGGGGTACTGCATGGCATTCAATTCAAGGTAAAACTCTTTCAAAAATACCACTCAATGAGGAGAGCCTTTAGAAAGTCAGCAGTTTCTTATAGTAGTCTCCAGGCATTCGTTGAATTTGTTTTTGTTTTTGTGATATTGTTTTTATTATACTTTGTTTTCTTGTATTCTTTGTTATTGCCTAACTCCTTTAAGTTCCCGGAAATGAAATAAATTTTTTTTTTTAAATGAAATAAACAAAAATGAATGTTGGAGAGGGATTGTCAGATGGCTCTAAAAGTAAAAAAGTTTGGTAATTTCTTCTTCATTTTTTCCTTGAGACCCATAATTGTTGAATTATCAGAAGGATTTGTTGATGTAGGTCTAAAAAAAAATATTATTTCTTATTCACCGGAAGGAAGGGGACCAGACTTTGCTTTCGACAAAACAACAAATTAGTGCATTTTCACAAAACGCTCCGGGTGAAAGGCATCGGTTCTCTACTATACTACCATACGATTGCGAATGATGTTGAGTGAGTAATTGATCTTGGCATAGTGGTGGTTTGTACGACGCGACAGGTGAATTCGACAGGAGTGGAGTTTGTTTTGATTCCTGCCCGGGCCGCCGCCGGAGTAAAAAAAGGAAGTTCGAATGTATTTCGAAGTCCGAACTATGATAGAATATGGCCATCTCCATCTCATCTCGTGAGAGATGTAGATCTAGTAGTACTTTCTTGATAGTATTTGGAGGGCTTATTTTCCTGTCTTCGCTGAGTTTAGCCGGGTGTGAAATTCATCGAACTCGAACATCGCGAGTGGCCAGGGCTACCTCGAAGGCATACCCGGGATCAGAGGGCACGCTTACGGTGCTGGGCGACGATGAACAGCCAGTGTCGGATGGTGGAAGAGAAGATTTAGAGACAGACGACTTTACAAATAATGCTTATTCCCAGACCGAGGCCTGGATCTATGCTTTAGGAGCAACTGTTCTTGTGGGTCTGAGTGGCATAGTTCCTCTATTTTTGCCAATTGAAATCGACCCATCAGCTCATGATGAAAGAGGTAAATTCGTGTTTTTCGTCAAATACTGTACTGTACATTACCATGGCCATATCCTGCATGTAAATGTATGACAGTTTGATGGTGGCGGGGGGGGGGGGGGGGGGGGGGGGGGGGGGGGGGGGGGAGTGTCCGGACACTTTTCAAACTTAAATCCATGTACTTCTCAAATAGCTCTAGGTCTAACCATTATGAATATGTCATTTGAAATATTGTTTGTCAACTTCTTCAAATTGCGTTGTTAAATCAACTAGACCTATCCTTTGGATATGACAGGACCATATTCATCAAACACCGGTAGCACTAACCATTATGAATATTTGTCCTTTTGAAATATTGTCTAATATAAATCTTAGAAGGTGTATGATACAGTTGTATATTGTTTGGTGTATGATATATTGTTTGTAAACTTCTTCAAATTGCTGTGTTAATCAACTATCCGGACACACAACATCTGTGCATACAGCCAGGTACATGCAGACTTTGACATGTAGTAGTTTTTAAAAGTAAACTTGTTGTGTGCTGTAAAATTGAAAACATTATATGGTAGAAGATTTCAATTTTACCAACTCTAGTTTTAAAAAACTTTAGTTTTTTTCTGGTTTTGTTTATCAATTTTATTTTCAATCATTGTGTATGTGGATACAAAAAGTGCTCCTGAATATTTCTATGCCCAATTGCCCATGACCGTCTTTGTGCACACATTCAATTGAAAATGCACACGTAGTTTGGGGTTGTTTACTTAAAGATTAATTGGCCAATTAAGGTTTGTAAATGGAATAGCTTGAAGAGAAAACAAAATCTTCTCACAATTTTTTACTCCATTTTGCATGATGTAGACTATGTACATGTGTATGTACATGTTTTTATAATATCATTTTGATAAAGACAGAAGTGAAGTTTGCTTTGCACTCTCAGCACTGAGATATACTTGTCAGGGAAAAAATTAATATTTATTTTTCGGGGGCTACTTTTCAACCTTGCCTGCATGAAAATAACATTCTAAAATTTGTTTTGCATTGAACTCTATGCAAATTTACTGGGGCTCTTTTCTGATTTTCGGGGGCTCTTTTAGGCATTTCGGGGGCTAATTCGCCCGAGCCCCCGTGTATTTTTTTCACTGATACTTGTACATGTATCTGGAGAATGATTGTGTCACTATTGTTTCTATTGTCAATATTTGATTATCTGCCCTAAGTTAAAGATAAAGTTGACTTCTGGTCATGCGATTGCATTGTGAAAGAGACGGTGTTGATCAGAAACAGTTGATCTTGTAGCAAATAAGTATACTAGTACATGTATGTATTGTGGTGTGTACTGCAAGGATACTGGAATCATCAAAATGATAAGAAATTTGGCCCAGTCATGGTAAAAGGAACAAGCACTGTTCTTAGAAAGAGGTATACATTGTATGAGACTACACAAACATGCGGCATAAAAATGTGGTCCTCATTCTTAAGCTATAAGATGTCACATTTATAATATGAAGCATTTGAAGAGCCATGCTTTTCTGGGAACATCTTTTTATCTGATGTTCTTCCACACTTGCATAACAATAATGATAACACTCACAAATTATTTATTACGTCTCCCCAGAACTCAACCTTCTCTTTAAATGTATTGAGTACCAGTATGGCAAATGAAATATCATGACTGAATTGCCAATGGGAGAGAGATAGTCATTTTATTTTCATACCATCACCTGCAAACTAGATAAACACATCACATGTGCATATAAGAATGGGACAACATATTTCTCAAATAGTACTTTCTTGTTTTTTTTTAAATACATGATTTCATGATTTGTCATTTCAGGGGCAGCCAAGTTTAATTGTATCCTAAGTTTTGCTGTCGGAGGTCTGCTTGGAGACGTCTTCATACATCTACTTCCTGAAGCTTGGGCTCATATTGATCATGGTAAGTCTCTAGGCATTGTTTCACAAAACCATAAAAAATACAAGTACACCAACATCCCTTTAAAATTGTAATAATTTTGATATGCTTTTAAATGGGATGTTTGCGAACTTGTTCTTAGGACAGTTTGGTGTAACAGTGCATGTTAGTTTTGTTATATTTTTTTTGTTTGCTGTTGAGTGTTTTTATTAATTATTCATAGTTCAATCTGTACATTTACATCTACAGGTAGACCTTAACTGTAATAATATGGCAGTGGGTCCACACGCAACAGGGGAAATAAAGCTATGCACCTGTAAAAACATGCAATGCAATTGCTACATGTTCATGTACAGTTGAGCTGAATAGTTTACAGCTGTACATACACATTATCACAACTTCACTCATTCCTGTCAACCTTTTTACTTTAGGAAGATAGACAAGTTTTGGTTTCTGTTTTATAAAGTATACACATTACTATTCACTCTGAGACATTTATAATGTTAACTTTGATAGGAATGAGTGCAGTTGAGAATATATCGTCGCTGTTTTCACGAAGTGACAGTAGTGAAAAAAAATTGCATTCACTTTGCGTTATGATTTTCCTCACTACCGTCACTTCTTGAAAACAAGGACGATATGAGTGAAATGTTTTTCTTCCAATGTTTTTCTTCCAGGTGTATGTAAACTTTTGGACCAACCTGTATGATACAATCAGCAGCATCAAACTTTTGGTTTAATTCAATGGCAGTATTAACTGTAGGGTTGTCCTAAAATGTTGTAAGTTTTATTATTTTTTAAATTGGGAAACTGAAAGTTGTTATTTGGTAAGTGACATCAGACCCCCCCCCCCTCCCTTCCCAGTAGAAATGTGCCCAGATACAATACTTGTACATGTATTGAGGTACATGTGGCAAGAAATGTCCAGACCAGAGCTCAAAATACACGGGGGCGGTGGGCGATTCGCCCCCATGAGCTACATAATCGCCCCCGTCAGGTTGCTCACGGGGGCGATTACAAAATTAAAAATCGCCCCCGTGGAATTATAAAATAAAGATTATCTTTTCTGTTATATCTTTAACACAATATTGAGTTTCAATTTTTAAACCTTAAACCAATGAAATGGAACTTAGATTAGCGTGCAAGATTTCTCGTTTTATAAGTAGGCCTAGTTATTATAGTCCGGCAGCCATCTCGGTATACCTTGTTTTAGGGTCTATAGTTTTTTTTTCTTCGGATTATAGTTCCTTAGACCATCAATTTGAAGAATTCGATTGCTGACACTCTGTCAGCATTGAGCAATTTGAGATATGTGACGTCATACAAAATGGCCGCCAAAATCCCCTTTTTAACCAAAATTAATGATATAAAAAGTTTTAACAGCATTTTACTACATTAAATGGCAGTCAAATATCTTGATTTTTTTTCTAGAATCATCACTAAATAAAAATTGCGATGCTGTATGATCACAAATGATATGCAAATTTGCATAATTTGGAATGGCGCCCTCTATAGACACATTAAAGCTTATCTGCCGTAGTTTACAGGAGGGATTAGACCGGTCTGCAAGGTCACTGGACAGATGGTTATCTCATCAACTCAGCTCTCAGTTAACATAAGAAAAAGAGGATCATGGGGGACTAATAGTCACCGATTAGGCATTGTTTGTTATATAGAGGGCGCAAGTAGCTACCAGTAGTGCAGTGGGCCTTTAACTTGCATAGTTCAAAATGATGGCCAAATACCAATTTCTAACATGAGATTATCATATGTCATGAGTCAGATGCACTGGATACAGTGAGTAAAAATTGTGCTGCACATTTATTTTTATTTTGTAATTTGATACTCGAAGAAAACACGGTTGAATTTTATGCTCTCTGTCCCATAGCTATGAGGTGGCATATGCTGATAAATGCCCATTTTCAGCGACAGCGTTAAGAAACTAGATTTGTATTCTAAGGTACTAGATTCTTTTTAATTAACCTAAAAATTACGAACTACCAATACGATACAGGACTATATCCGTTTATAAGTTTGCTTCGAAATCTTGAAATTTGTTTAAAAGCCCTCTAAAGTGTTGGGAACCCTAAAATATTCCATGCGGAAGAGGGTGTCATTTAACACTTAATTCTGCAAAGTGAGGTCGTGACTGTAATGCGTGCTTCCACACGCATGTTTGCAAATGAGCTCTCTTAACATTTTCTACAAACGCTTCAGTAGTTTGAGGTAGTGAGGCAAGGTTTGGGGGTATTTGGAGCTCTTAGTCTTCGGACCCTTGATAGCCACACGTTGATACGAGCCTCTGACATTCAGTTGGTTGTTGACTGTCCACAACATGAAGCAAAGCATTGAGTAGGTTGAGTGATGACATATGACCATGCTGCATCAACATTGCCAACTGAGTCCTAAGGGAGTCGAATCTTCTGCTTCATCACTTTCAGCATTGTACCCTATCCAATGCCAAAGTATGCCCCAAGAGTGTCGCATCCCGTCAACGCATGTCCTGCCAACATCGATGGAATGATATCTTCTAACTTGTCTACATTGGCAGGAACATCAATAACGGTGCGATTTGTGAAGGGGCGTCTCCATGGTCATTGGCGTTTTATAAGTTCGTCATGTAGATAATGATGCAAAAGTAGTACGTAGACGTCTGTGTCATCCACTAGGACCCTAACATACATCTTCTCATTAGCATCAATTCAAATCGCTTGCTGTACTTTGATGTTGCCTGATGTTGCCTGCTTCATCATGTCAGATAACTATGTTGTGGACAGACTTTTCCTTGGCATGACATCACTGCCTGGAATCATTTCAACAAGAACCTCATCTTGACGGTAAAGGCCTGCTTGTGCTTTTGCCTTTTTCTGATCACCCAATCATCCTGCAGACTCGCGCATATAATTATGATGTCGATCAACTGTAGTTTGTTGTCATGAAAAGATAGTGAAGTTAGCAACACTAGAGACACGTTTCAACAACTTCTCTCCCTAGCTTTATTGATCTTTCCAAAGCTTTTGACTGCGTACAACATAAACGCCTATGGAAGATTATGAGCTAGATGGGCTTTCCAGCACATATAATTCAACTCATCCAGTCGCTCTACCAATACCAAGAAGCAACAGTAAGAACAGAGAATGGCTACACCGAAAGGTTTACTATTGGTCAAGTTGTCCGTCAAGGCTGCATCCTATCACCATAACTTTTCAACATCTATGCTGAATTCATCATGAGAAAGGCATTTTATGGTCAAGTTTCTGTTGGTGGACGAACGATCACCAACCTAAGATACGCCGGCAATACAACACTCTCTGGCGTATTGATGGGGAAGGGTTGGGGGGGGGGGGGTTGGGGACAGTTGAACCCCCAAACAAAATTCAAACTGTTTTTTCTATATATTCGATACCAGTGATTTACAAATGTTGCTGAAATGACATGATTTTCCTGGGTTTTTTCTCACTTTTTAGTAAATTATTATTTGTTAAGCGTATGTTGGAAAATGACAAATCCTAAATTCACAGTCAAGCACAAAATATGCTTATTTCAAAGCCTACATGTCAGGGTCCGCAGAACAGCGGGGCTCAGGGGACTTGAGCTCCCCTCACTTTTTGTATAAAGTATGTTAAAGAGAACTAGAAAGAAAGAAAGAAAGTGACCCGAGGTGAAATGAGGTATCAAAATATGTTCATCTTACAGTTAATAAATGCCTGAAACCATTGAGCTTCCGGGGGCTGTGCCCCTTGAACACCACGCCAATTTGCGCTCCTCTCTTCCTGATCGTAAACACTTCACCCCCCCCCCCACCCCGCTTTAAAAAGTTCCGCGGGGCCTGCATGTAACATGTATGAGTGGTGGTGATGCAGATTGTTTTTCTGCCCCTTTAAGTGTTTTTGCTCAGTATGCCACTGACAAAACTTATAACAAGAACATCAGAAGAACTACTAGAACTCCTTAAAAAAGAGTGAAGGATGCAAGTTAATAATTTGGACCCTACCCAATGTGAAAAAGACCAAGATCATGATTGGTGGAAATTAACTACGTGCAACAGAGCATGGTGGTTGATGGAGAAGAAGTTGATCAAATGGACAAGTTTATATAATGTTCTTGGGTCAATGATTGTCAAGGAGGATGGAAGCTCGGCAATATCTGCCTTTGAAATGTGGTGTTGGAGGAAACTACTTGGGATATCATGAAGAGATTACAACACCAATGGACACAATTAATGTCCATCATCGGAGATCAACTGCCACTTGCTACCAGGATTGACAAGTACAAGCTACAATAGTTTGGTCACGTTAGCCGAAGATCAGGAGACAACCTTGACAAATTATCATTCAAGGTACCTTTGAAGGAACACGTAACAAAGGAAGACTCAAGTTCAGATGGACTGACGACCTAGGGAAATCACTAGCCACCCTCTAAATACTAAAGACACTCTACCGGGAGACAGATGCCGATCGAAAGGTCTCATCAAACGGGTCACAAGGGTGAGCCATGATCTATATGACGACGACGACGACGAACAGTAAGAGATAGTTTCTTGGAGGGCAGCAGTGACGCGGGACTCAGTTGGAAGACTCTCGACCCGTTATGACCTCTAGATACTCTCGGATCTGTCAAACACCAAGCAAACATCATCAGATTTTCATCCACAGCAGAGCACAACCATCAATGACTGTACAAGATTGTTCCAGTGTCTTATGCCTGGCTGACATCTCAACTTTTGTCAAATTCTATAAGTCCGTCTTTGACATGGGAGTGCTCGTTTCCAGAATCATCAAAAAGTGCTGTTGGGACTGGTGAAAGCTCTTATGACAAAATGTCCTTGACATTGACCTCTCTTGAACTTGTCTGCAGTCCTACTACTCTGGAGTAGATCAACTTTTCATAGACTTTCGTATCCCAACATTGACTTCTTCATGGCTGCCACGGTTTGAACTTTCTTGGAAATTGTGTCATAGAATCTACCACGTAATTTCTTTTGAAAATCATGCATCTGTCTAGTATAGATGTCAACTGCTTTA